TTTTTTTAAATAATTTGAATAAATGTTTTGATAAAGATTTGAGATTCCTTTCACTGAATGAATGGTCACAAAGCTAGTGTTAAGCTTGAAGTAAATCAAATGGAATGCCCCCCTCCCTTTAAGTTCTTTCTGCAGCCGGGTCTGGCTAACGTTCATGTTGATCCTACATCTGCAGCAGGAAAAGGCTCAGATACGTGAGAAACCCGGAGGGTTGGCAGTTACCGTTACAAACTACACCTTTGAAACACATAGCAGCTAGTTAAAAGAACATTACATGCGTCAGTGGTTGTTAGCACTAGCGGTTAGAAGTTGCTAAACTAGCAGTTGTCAGAGCTCGTCTGAACACAGCTTACCTTGGTGCGTATCACTGTGTTCCCAGTGTTTGCTGGCTTTATGATCTGCAGCTCCTGAACCCATCCATTGGTGAACTGCACATGCGACTCCAAGGACTTGTAGCTTCTGTATTGTTCTGAGGTATATGCGCTTACTCCACAAACAAGGTAGCCGAAGACGTCCGAGAAGGAGAACAGTCGCAACAACTCGTCGTCGGTGCTCCACTCATTATTTGGAACCTCTTACGGATCCAAATTATTTATGATGCTGATTTTGTCAACATACCGGTCCCTGGCTTCTCTATTAAGTGTATCCCGGTAAATTCCGGATCCTTTTTGGGACTTCAACATCGTTCTTCTCTTCTGATTTTCCTCGTGCAAATACGTTATGTCGGCGCTATGAAATTGTTAGCGTAGCCGTCAACATGGCAACCACGTCCCAGAATGCAAAGCGGATCCCGAGCCCTATTTAAGACCCCCCTTAAATTTTGCTTTTGAGGCTTTCAGGGGGGCTCATGGGTTAATCGGGGGGGGGGGGGGGGGGGGGGGGGGGGGGGGGCGTCGAGCCCCACCGGATCCCCCCGTATTTCGCACTCTGATCCTGGGCTTTAAAATGGCAAAAAAATCAAACACAAGTCTGGTTCTTAAAGTGAGGCTTTTTTGTTAAATTTTGGGGCAAACACATCGATTTGAATAGTTCTTTCTCATTCTATTATTTTCGAGGTTGGGGATATATTTGTTAATTATATGTGCAAAACACCAACTGAAGTGAAACATTTATTCAATTAATTGATAATTCAGTTAAGAATCACCTGATTTTCTTTTCTTTTTTTGGTGTGCAGTATAGAGCTTTGGATTTTGTATTGATAATGTCGCAGAACTGTAAGATCAAAATATCATCTAAATCTAAAGTCAGTTGGCAAAAGCTTTTTAACTGCAGCAAATCACTTTTAAAAGCCCAAATAATTACTTTTCTTCTTTTTTTGTAACTCAGTATGCTCACAACTATCTAGTGAAGAAAGGCCAGTCACCTGCAGATCCTGGACAGTTCAAGAGACAGCTGTATGACATCTGGTTTCGCCTCTACCATAGAGACAGGAGTGGAGGGTGAGTGTTTCTGAAAGCAGGGGGCGCTACCCCAAAGGAAAAGCTTGGAGGGTGAGATAGGCATGTTCATCAACTGAATAATAGGATAGAATGTATCCTGCAGGTGTGTTTTTTAACTCATTTTATTTCTTTTAAAAATATATAAATATAATGCATATAAAAGATTTTTAAAAGATTTATAAAATGTTTTCATTCAAAATGTTTGGAATGAGACAAACTCCAAAATCAACATAGGTTTTTTTATTTTTTTTTTAAGTCAAGTTTGCACAACCTTTAAATCAAAGGATCTATTTCATGTAGGGTTGGTGTCTGTTGTATAATTGCATAACTTGTAGATGAGGGGAAATAATTTCAGAAATGTTTTTTAATTAGTACAGAAAGAAAAATAGATGCATGTTTTACTCCTTTTAGAGAAGACTCGTGTGGCTTTGAACATGTGTTTGTTGGAGAGACCAAATACGGCCAGGAGATCATGGGTCTGCACAACTGGGTGCAGTTCTACCTGCAGGAGAAGCACGGCCATGTTGACTACAAAGGCTACAAAGCGAGGGACAATAAAGACACAGTAAGAACGTACTGCAGGTTACCTATTCATTTGGAATTCAATTTAAGTATTTTCCAATTGAAAAGGGGAAACAAATGTATGGAGAATTTTTATTTCCAGATATTATGCCCCGTCTCATTTTTAAAAGTTGGTTTCATGACTATTTCCGTTTCCTCCAAGCATATATTCATATATTCATCTTCAATCGAAATAGTTTCCATGTTTTGAAGATTTCATATTTGAAGCCTGATACTGAGATTATGACACGATATTAATAGAAAACATCTCTAGTCATAACGGTTTGAACAAATCCTCTCATAATTTAACAGTCTATTTTTTTTTCTGTGTGAAAAGTATTTTGATCACAGAATATGTAAATTTATGTAAATCATGTGTCGTATTGAGCTTTCTAAAATATCTAAACCTTAAATCTTTTTTAATAGCCTGATGAGGATGACCATGTCCTGAACCTGCAGTTCAGCTGGAAGGGTCTGGTAAAGCCAATCGGCGGCTCCTTCATCGGCGTCAGCCCAGAGTTTGAGGTTGCTCTGTTCACCATCATCTTCCTCATGTCGACTGAGAAGATGACATCAGTGGTGGCGAAAGTGGACGAGTACGTGTTGGAGTTTGTGGTCTACCGGCATGGCCGCTCCATTGGCACGTCGTACCCCAAACTGCTCAGTAGCAACAACAGAGATCTGTAGTTTTTCAGCCATCCTGTAAACCAAGCATGGAGACGGTTGTTTTATATGCACTAAAGCTAAGGCTATAAATGTCTGTTAATTAAAGGTTGATAACAGTGAAGGATTTTATATGATCATATTTGTTACGTTACAGAATATGTATTAGTTACAGCAGTTATTCCTTTTGTAAGAACATTTATAGCAGAAACGTTATAAATAAATAAGCATTTTTGCAAAGAGGTTTGAATTTCATCTGTGTTTTAGAGGTTAATTACATCCAATGTATTTTTGAAAATAGTTTTTTTTGCTACCAGTTCAAATAAAGTTTAACCTGTATTTTACAGCATAGATGTTATACCTTGTTTCCCACCTATGAACCATTCCTTGTTTTGCTTTATTGAATTGAGTTTTATTTTACATACCACCTTAAGGGTTTTTGAGGAACGTTTACATTTTGAACTCTCCCACCAGTTTTTCACCTACAGAAATGAAGGGTGAGTCCTGAGCAGAGAGTCAGTCCTACATAAGCCTCTTTTCATGCAATGTCTTGAAACTATAACCTGGTTTAGGAAGCCAGGGCTTAATAGTGAAATGACTGGCTTATAGGGGTAGATGTATTTTTTTTTTTTTTTTTTGATGCAACTAGCAATTATTCATAATATATTAAAATATGACACTCTGGGTTTTTCATACTTTGCAGCTTTTTAATTTTTTCAAATTTTACTAATTTGATTAGTAAAATTTGTAAAAGTATTTCCATCTTTACTAAGCTGGAATTAAGCCCTCTTTAGCCACAACCTTTATAGGCTTTTATTAAGGGATACTCTTATGCTGTTTAACAGTTAACTTCTGAAGCAAAATACCCCTATTGAAATAAGCCTTAAAGCTGCAGTCTGTAACATTGAGAAGAGAGCAGAAGTCGACTGAAAATTTGAAGAAAAACAGGTTTCACGCCACTCCCCCACCCTCTCTGCTTCACCCATGGCCCACCTCCAAGCTCCACCCCTCTCACAGCATCTGCGCGGCTACCGCATGCGACCAGAGCGTTCAAGCAGCGTACGCGGCATGGAGTGTGAACCGGTAAAGAGCGATAGCACTCACCTCCAAGCAGCTATATATAAGATGCTGGTTATACCGAAGTTTGCCGTGTAAGCAGTTGTCGGCAGGGCAGTAAGGGCAGTTTCTCTTTCGCTGGTGGCTGTCGCTCCGCCATGACTTCCATGCGCGTCCTCCTGACTGCAGCAGCAAGGCAGCAGCGGCAGGTTTAGCGGTGGAGGGAGGGGGCGGAATTCAGCGTGTGTGAACTGTGATTGACACTCCATCAGACGCTCCTCTGGCTGTGATCGGTTGTTTTGACTCGTCCCGAAATATTCTTTCCAGATTGAAATACAGGCAGTAGGCGGGACCAATTGAAGCAGTTTTTTTCACAGGTTACATATCACATTTACTGCTGTCTGGGCATAGGGACAGTTTTAGCCAATATGACAAAAAAGTGATTTTTAAAAACTTACAGACTTCAGCTTTAACGTACTATATCAAATTCACAAAGTAAATGTTGGGGTTTTATTAACTGTATCCCACAGTCATCCAAATGAACAAAACGATTGAAATCTATGTAATGACCCTGTTATGAATGTATTCATTAGTCTGTATCATTGTTTTATGTGGGGAGAAATGTGTTTCTACTCCCCTTAATGAAAAACAGAAACATTGGTAATATATAAAGATAAATAGAACAAATGTTTTATAGTAAGATAATAATAGAGCAAAGCCAATTCTAAATCAAATTGATCTTAGTCAATTTCACAGTTTCACAAATCCACAAAATTAAAATGAAAACTAACAAAGATTAGATATAAATCAAAAGATATTTTAAAACATGAAGTTATAACACTGTTTTAAGATTTTAATAGGCTCATTACGTTTTCCCAAAGTCATGCCACTGCTGTGCCGTTGCAAAGCTTAGTGCCGCACTCTGCTAACAGTTATCCCTCTTTAACCACAACTTTAAAAATTTAACACTAAAACTAACGTCTCAAGACTCATACCGAAACCTAAAGAGGTCATATAGCGCCCCCTGGGGGTCACAAAATACAATGTAACGCCTCTAAGAGAGAATTTATCAGTGATTAAAGCATTGCTTTAAGTGGGGAATTAATATCACAATTAATTGAGATTCTATTGTAGGCTAATAAAAAGGAAATTTAAAATGATATGTAATCAAATACAAAACGTTTAATTCCTGCTCGCATATGCGTTCAGGCTCTCCTGCCTGTCAGACAAAATTCAGGGAAAAACGGTCCTTCCTGACGCCCTCTCGCTTTGCGCATGCGCATTCAAACAAGCAACGTCAAACCGCAGAAATAAAGCTGTTGGTAGAACTATCTCATGAACTGGTGAATGAACAGGTAAACATTCCCAACGGAATTTCATTTTACCTGTAATTTTTAAAATAGTCATCGCGGGTGAGGGCAAAAAGAGGTTTTATGGTGTTGAATCAACTTTTTAAGTTGGTTGAAAGTAGCATATTTAGCTAACGGCTACAGCTCTGGTCAGTTGGCAGCTCGTTGTCCCACAGCGAAGGTTGGGAGCCACCTGACAACTGCTCACATGATTTCAACTAGTGAAGCCAAAATACGAATAGCAAGGAAGTGTCTATTTAATTTTTAATTGCTCTTTGCGTTATAGGGCTAGTTCGGATCAAACAGTTGCCGCGGAGGTGTTTAATAACAAAACCACAACAAAAACATGTTTGGTAGAAAGAAGAAGGCGCCGATGCCCAAAGGACAGGGCGCTGCAGCAGCCAGACAGGTAACTAAAATAACATGAAACACATCAAGCAAGGGGATTTAATGTTAAAGCTGAAAACGTGTCTTTTCTAGATGGGGTTGTTTGTAGACCTCAACCCTGAGGAGATGATGATGGATGCGGATGAAAATCTCGACGACCCAGATCTGGAGGCTGAACTTGCTGCTATTACTGGAAATACAGTTTCTACAAAGGAAAGAGTCAAACCCAAGGGGAAAAGTAAGCTCAGTGTTTTTTTTTTCCAATGAAATCATGTAAACAAAAAAAATTCTGATCTTTTTTTAATATTCCTTGTTTTGTGTTATTGATAGTTCACCTGATTGATGGAGATACAACAAATAACATTTAATACTCAGTGTTCATATTTGTTATAATGATTTTACTTTGATCTGAAGTAGTAATATATAGTAAACAGAAATGTGTATCACATTCAAAACATGGTAAGACTTCTACATTCTGGTAAAAAATTTTGCTTATTTGTTCCTTCCTGATGGAAGCAGCCATACTGAATTCTTTATGCTAATAATATATGTTCACAGCGTTGGATCATTTGCCTAAAGCTCAACCATTTCTCGTATTTCTCCTTCCTCCATCACACAGTATAGTAATATTTCTGTTACGGCCAATAACCGATTTTTGGAGCTCATTAGATTTGAAAACAAAAAATATTTTTTCAGAACATTCCCACTCATACTTCTTTGTTTAAAATTACTCTGCAGCAGTGGTGGTTTTTAAAAAATGTCCATAATTAAAAAAAAAATCTTTTAATGAATGGGAATTTTAAAATATCAGCTCGTGGTTCCTTTGTACCAGTTGCATCCATGCTGCTGAACTAACTGTTTCTGAAGGTGGTTTTAGGGAAATCTGTTTGAATCTATCCATGGCCATGGATCATATATCCCTGGATGATTGTTGATAACAGGTCTAAACAAAGCGTTATGCTCTACCTATAAAACAAACAATATCAAACTGGTTTACCTCTTAAAAACAAGCAACATCATACATCTTGTAAAGCAATGATTACCTTCAAACAGTTGGAACATCTGTGTAGTCCTCTGTTCTTTAATCTGCAACAACCATGAGTTTTATGCCGATGGTCCCATTTCTTTTATTGATTGATTAAAGACCTCCTGATGTTTGGGTGCATTTACAATGGACCTGAATGATCAGATTTCTGCAGAAGAATATTTGATTAAAAATTCACATTTCCAAATGTAAATGTTTTGGGTTAAATTAAAAAATGAAAATTAATTCCTGGATCCAAAGTTTCCATGAAGAGAATGAGATTTCAGAGATCTGAATTATAATATTACCTGGACCAGACAGCGCTTGTTGAACTCTGTTTATAGTTTAAATCTGGCTGAGCTCATTGTAGACATTTTTCTGTTGGTTTTACTTTCTTTTGTAGTTGTTTTTGAGTATTTTTAAATATGTAGTTGTGTTTTGGTTTTGCAGGTAAACTTTGCAATTGCAAATTTTAGATAAAAGTGTTGTATTTTATTTTGTGTAGAAAACAGAGCCATGACATCATTTATTTGAGACTCACCTCTGTACTTGTAAGCTAAGGAGATTTTGAAATGTAACCCCATTAGCTCCCAACCCTGCTCCCCCTCCCCTCCTGAAGGAGCTGAAAGCCATATCTTCTATACATGCTTGCATGTGTAGTACAAGCAATGTGAATATAGAGCGTAATTGCATTGATCTGGTGTAGAACATAAAGCCGATGCCACTTAGTCTACATTATATACAATGTAACATGAATCCTCTGGTGTTTACCTGCTATCCCGTCCACATTTAGCTTGAAGTAAAAGTCACAGTCACAAGTCAAAGTACTGTCTATCAGGCTCACAAGTGTCCTGATAGACAGTACAGGATACAAGTGAGCATTCAAGCTAATGGGATAAACACAGTACACCACATCTACTAAAAAATATATTTATTAGTTAAAAAATCTTTGTTTTAAAAATGCTAGAATACAATAGATTATAAATATTTGACCTTTTCCAAAGCAACTGTAGACTTAGCAGTTTTTCACCATTTAAGATCCTCCATCTTTAAAAGCATTGCCACTGAAAATCCTACCAGAAACGTTTAAATGTGCCTTTACGACTTTTATTGTCATTTTATACACACATAGTGTATACAAAATGAAATTTTGTCTAGTACATCTTTTCAGACAGTAAATGAACATTTCCATTCCATAAAGTGCAACTGTAATCAAATGTAAACAGTGTGAGAGAAAAAAACGGATTGATATGGAAGTTCAGAGCATTAAATATATATGGTGCAAACATGCAGTATTTTTTGGTTTGGTGTTATCATTGTGATGCAGAGTTTTTGACATGCCATGGGGGAAGTTTATAAGTATTTTCTATACTTTCTTTAGTCTCTCCAGTTTGGTCTCTCCATTGACCACCCCCACCCTACAGCTCCCTTCAGTTAAATACACAAGTCTATTTCTTGGTCCAGGTTGTTTTCGTGCATTTCCGATTTATTAAGCAGTTGAGACCTGGAAATATGCCACAGTAAAATGATCATTATGACAGATTACACACTACATAATACAGCAGGTGCAGATAGTCAAATGTAAACCTTATTGATGTACTTATTTAGGACTTTATAGTTTATGTTAAACGTTTAATCGTATTGAAGCATTTTTATGTCAACTTCTAACACAAAATCAAGTATATTAAATAACATTTATTACCTAACCAATTGTTTTTAAAAGAAATAAAATTTCTTAGTAACAATTTCAAATATTTCCTAGGATGGGAACATGTAAGAATACAGCTATTTAAAGCATTTAAACATGACTGCGTGTTTTTATATTTTAGGCCCTCTGCCCATGGAAGACATTGCTAAAATGGCGGATGAGTGCATGAGAGATGTGGATGAGGAGGAAGATGATGATAACTTTGAAGATGATGAAGATCTATTGGTTGGTGCTGTATATATTATTAAACCATGTTTTGCAACTTTTCTTTTACACATCTTCTAATGATTGTTTAAGAATGTTACCAACAGTGAAAACAAGTTGCAACAAATTGAAAAGTGTTTAATTTAACACATGCTGCAAAGACTTTGTATTTAAGGAATACATTAAATTTAATCTGTAGAAAAACGAAGACATTATTGACAGGCCACCTCTCAAAGCAAATATTCTCCTTGAAATATACGCTTTTTACATTATTCTTATGGTGGTTTGAAGCAAAAAACATAATTTTCTGCTGTAAAAATGTGACTCGATACACAGTTTATTATTCTAGAGCAGAACTTTAGAAAGACTAATCAAATTAGGAGTTAGCTTTACAGTTCTCAATGATCTTAAAAAATGCCGCCCTTCATCTACTACACTGAGTCATTGTATCTCAGCAGACATGCCTGATAGTTTTGTATTAATGTACTCTTTCTCCATCAGGCGGAGCTCCAGGAAGTGGTGGGTGAAGAGGAAGCTGGGGACACAGTAACTGCTTCCTCTACATCCTCCGCCTCTGCTGAATCTTCTCTAGTTGAAACAGTCGAGCCCTCAGCTGCGCAGGTACAACACGAGCAACTCTCTCTCATCTTTAAAAACAAACTCCTCTGACACGGATGTCAAATAGAATTACCTTTTCTTTTCAATGACTTGCAACTAAAATTAGGGGAATTTCTGTCTCCCATTATCTTTCATTTGAAGGTTTAACTGCCTATTTTAGTAACAACATAAACACTTAAATTACTTGGCAGGTTTATTGCTGGACTGTGTCCAGTCTAGGTAAACACTCTCCACTCTTTCTCCCGCATTTCATATTTACACATTTCTTTTTATTTATACATTTCTTTTGAATTTAAAGCAACTGAATCATGACCAGAAAAAAAAAAAAAATACAAGAACTTAATGTTACTATTCATTAGCTTAGATTGTTTCTCCTATGCAGGTAGGGGAAATGTGCAGCTCATAATTTGCATGCTTAGTAACTTATTTAAAATCAACCCTGACAGTTTTTACAGTCCTTGTGTTTTTTTTTGTTTTTTTTCGCTGAAACCGAACTAGGAAGTAAAGATCTCCAAAGCACCTCCTGGTAGCCTTCAGAATACTCTGGAGGAGCGAGCAGACATGTATAAGACTGCAATAAAGAATGCAAAGGCAGCAGGAGAGGCATCCAAGGCCAGAAGATACGATCGAGGTCTAAAGGTTGGTAAAATATTTCATATAATGAAGATGGAACTACATCCCAAAGCTGATATTTTATTACCAAATATCCCAAAGATATTTCTATGATATTTTGCAAGAGAAGAAAGTGAGATTTTAAATGAAAATATTTTCAGAGTTCGAGGTCTTTATTTGTTATTGTTCCTCAAAGGTACAAATAAAAACTTATTTAAAGAAATTTTGATAAAACCTTATGTGTATAAATAAAGCTTTTTGATAACTCTACAAAAAGCTGACAGTATTTAACATAATGCACATTAAAAGGAGGGCAGGTATAGTGTTAAGTTATTTTTGCTGCGCATCAATATCATGATATGAATTATTTATTCTGTAAAAATACTTTTTTTACAGGCCGTCCTTTTGAGATTGACGTTTGTTTTTCTGTTTAAACTGAAAATTAGTCTTTTGGATATAAAATATGTTTTAAAGTGAGGAAGAGAAGTATTTGTTTCCTTGGAGGGTACCTAACTTAGCCCACTTAAAAACTGTAATATTATTTTCATGTAGAGGGACTAATTTTTATGAACAATTTTTTGGTTAAAAGGAGCCTTTTCGCCCAACGCAACCAGAATATTCTGTCTCAGAAGTTGGTTATGTTTCAATGTTGTCTACAAATAGGTCAATCATTTACAAATAGCCCTGGCCTTAATTTTCTTCTGTTTAATATGAAGCACACCTACCAAAGAGTCAATCTCTTCATATTTTCTAAATCTCTACACCACAAAGAAACCCAAGAGCTTCAAAGTATCTCACTGACATTCAGTTAATGTTGTAGATTAAAAATGTTGTAGATATTAATGGTTGTAGGCATAAGTTATCTCCTATATTGCATGTCTTGCATTGGATACCTTTGACTGAAGACATTCTGTTATTGTACAACAGTCTGATGAAGAGGAAGGTCTTTGTTATCGATAATGTTTTTTAAAAGTGCTGTTAACCGACCTCCTTTCTTTGTCCGCTTTTATTTTTAAGCTGATATGGTCAGAAAGCCTGGCAGAGAAATGCTGGAGTTTGGGATATGATGCTGCTGCCTTTTTTTAAGTGAAGCACATAGTACTGTATTCCTAAAATTCTGTCTAAATCTTTGAAGAGCTCGTAGTAAATTTTTTGCTAAAGATCTCTCATTGCCCAATGCTGGTTGATGAAAGAGATGACTCTTGTTTCCTCGCTCTCTCTCTTCTCATTGCCCCTACTCTGCATCCATGCCTCCTTCTATCCAACTTAGCTGGAACTTAGGGACGTAGATTAAGTATTTCTGCTTTTGATATTTAAATCAGCTTCTCCCGTCCGATTTTCTTTAGCAATTTGAAAATACAGCCCCCTGCTGCATGATGTGCCTTGAAAACATCTTATGATAGTAGCCCAAGGTACATTGCCATTGCAATAAAGGATTGGCCAAGGAAGGAGAATATTAGAGATAAGGGATTGGCTTGGTTAAAACCTCAATCCTAGAGACATTATACAGCTGAAGCCTTCAGGTGCAATTAAACAAAACCAGAAACCTAAATATTTAAAGATTTTTTGTAAGGATAAAGGGTTCAGAATTGGTCTGAGAAATGTTAAAGACCAATTATACTGTTCTTCTGACCAGTAGAACTAATTTTCTTATGAGCTCTGTCATTTTTTGATGGATATCAAATAATTTCTTCACTAAATTACATACAAAACACTTTTTGACTTCAGCTGAATGAGGATAAACCAGACAGTTAGTAAAAAACAAAGTGACGAGCAGCTAAAAATCACTTTCATAGAAACAATTATTTGTCTGATGGCAAAACAGTATACCAACCCCATTGGGCCCCACAAGGGGCATACTTCTGTTAAGAGTTATTGTTGTTCTTCACAGACACTGGAATCGATGTTAGCTGTTCTGAAAAAGGGAAAGCCTGTCAACGAATCAGAGATCCCACCACCTGTCGCTACCGGAGCCCCAAGCACTGTGTCTCGGCCTGCTGCTCCTGTAAGACCCGTCCCCCCTGTTCCTTCGCCTCCTGATCCAGCTCAGCAGGAGGAGATAGAGACCACAACACTACAGTCAGCTGTGCCTGATATCGTCACACCCAGCAGTGAAGAAGGGGGGTCTTCCACTTCCATACTGACTGCGAGCAATCTTCCATCTCCTGAGGAGTTACCTGACCCCACAAAGGCCAATCTGACTGATTGTAAGTATTACTATCTAAGTTAGTCACATAAAGCAGCAATGATGCTCTTAACATAAAAAAATTTATGTTTCTACAATTTTTTTTTTTTATCTGTTGGCCAATCCCAGAGTGGCTCATTTTATTTTCCTGTTTGTGCAAAGGAGCCTAAAGTCAAACTGGATCGTTCATCATGCTCATATTTTTTTCAATGAGCTAAAATTGCCTGCAAAAGCATTAAGCCCCTTTAGCTTTTACTGTTTTTGTTTTTTAAAACACAATTAAAACTTAAAGCTTTGAAGTATTTTATTGGGAATTTATGTAATAAATAATCAATAGATGTAATAATATATCAATAGAAACATCTAGTTCTAATTAATACTGTATTTTGTTAGAATAAAATGAAGCTAAAGCAAGAAAAGTCCTTAAAATTAAACCTATTAAAGTCTTAAAAAAACACCCTAAGATTGAGACAGGTTTATCTTCTAGCAGGACAACAGCCATAGATACACATTTGCAATGTCAAATAACCAAATTTATATGATTTGAACTCCTTGTAAATGTTGAAACATCTTTATTTAGGTTAGGGGTGTAAGAATAAATCCATTCTGTCAATTATTACGACGATTAATTAGACGATATTAGCTTTGATTATATTAAAGATATATACTTTTATATATTTTAACCTTGTCAACTAGTTTGCAGCCCACCATCCAAGATTCTATTATTCAGCCACTACACAGCAGCAAGATTTTGTGAGATTTGCCAGAGAAATATTATTATCAAAATGAAAATCCTATTATCTTTGGTAATGTATCAGGATTAACTTTTATCTTGAAATGTAGTGGATACATAAATTCTTGTCAGTTCACTCGCCGCATTTAGGTATATGTTTACAATATATTTTTTATGTGACGTTATTCAACTTAGTAATTCTGTATTCACCTTACTGGCTATAAATGATAGATTTATTGGTCCAACATTCAGCTGAGTTTAATATGCTTCCGTTAATTTTGTATTGGAGGCATATGACTGTCATTTGTCTCAGTGAAATAAGTGCCTTATTACAAGTCAGGAAGCAGTGAATCAGGCCTTTCTCTCCAGTGATTGTTTTTCTTCCACAATACAGCCAGCAACAAGGCGACCAAGCTGATGCTTTTGGAGAGGCAGAAAGAATACAAGCTGGCAGCTCTGAGGGCAAAGAAGGAAGGGGATCTGGAGCAGGCTAAGCTCTACTTCAAGACCAGCAAGGTCAGTTATAACCAAGACATTTTTACTACTCTTTTGTTAGCAGCAGTTTAGACATTAAGTGCTGTGGTGAGTTATTTTGAGGGGAAAGCAAATTTAAACAGCAAAATAAACTTTGCATTGAGTGGTTTGTATTGCAAATTTATTTTCTTATCAGTGCTGTCCCAAAAAATTATAGTATAAAATGTAAAAAAAAATTTGACATTGTAAAAAATCTGAATTTGTTAAGTTAGTTAAACTGGAAGACAGACTGTAGATCTGTTGTGTAGAAATGGTAACCCCTCTAACTTCTGTAGTGATGTGGAAATATAGATAAAGTTAAGATGACCTTCATGTGGATGTCCAATGGGTGTCCTTATGGTATACTGCTAGAAAAAACCCTATTATTGAGGTTTTTACTCTGGTAATCAGATGTCCACAGCTAAAATCTCTGGTGTTTTTTGTCTGAGCATGTTGTTCAGTAGTGGCATTGTTGGCATATTTTACTTCACATTCCGCTGAGGAGAATCTTGCCATCAGTATGAGAAGTAAAATATGCCAACAACGCCACTACTGACAAAGACCATGATTATCTCTTTGTGATTTTGTGCAGAGGTTTGATGCAGTGATTGAGGCATTGGAGAAAGGACAAGCAGTCGACCTCAGTGGCCTTCCATCTTCTCCTGAAAAAGGTCAGAAATAGGAGGAAAAAAAGAAATCGTGATTTGGTTAGGGTTAAAGAACAGAATCTTAAGCAAATGTTAAGCCAACTGTTGATGGGGAAAAACCCTAACAAATAAAAGATGTACACTCTGTTTAAAAAAGCACAGATCAAAATAATGTCACAACTAATAGAAATGGTAAATATCAGAAGAATGAAGCCAGTCGGGTTGCTTCAGATGGGCTATTTTGTCACCACTTGATGCCTGAACCTGCACTAAGTTACATATTTAATTTTATATTTCTTCTTCTAAGTCCCTACGATGATAATCTTCATGTTTATCAGATGAGTGAGAGAGCTTTTATCTCCCTCTTGCAGATTTGTCAATTTGTTCTCGTTTCTTGCTAAGGTGTACAGTTTTACAACGGGCCAATGTAAAGCCATTGGCTTCATTAGCCACACATCTAATGCTACGCTACCCACGAGTAATTATAGATCAGTTTTATTATTTTAGAGATTCATGGGAGAGGGAAAGTGAAGCAAATTGAAATAGGAGAGAGTTAATTTGGGCGTAAAACCGAACAAGGATGCAAAATTGATGGACATGTAGCGATGTTGTTATTGGACTTATAATTACCATATACTTTATGCTAACCTTTGTTAGACCTACTATTGTGACCTTGGAGCCATCGATTCTTAGCATGCCACAATGGCTGAATCCCCTAATGAGAGGAAATTAAAAGGGTTTTATTCCAGAAGATATTTTAACTGACTTGTATAGAAGTAATAATGTGCGATGAAAAGGCAGCTGTGCATTAGTTAAATTAGATAATGCAGAGTATTATCTTCAGACGTTTGGTTGTGATATGCGTCCTCCAGCTGAAGGGCAGTTTGTTATTTTCAGTGCTACAGTCCTGTAGGCAGGCTCGGACTGGGAACGATTTTCGGCCCTGGCAGGTTTCCATCTACACCGGCCCACTTATGGCCCCACTCCCTGAAAAAGAAGAAAGAAGCACAGTCAAACGCATCCGTCTCAAATGTGAAACACAACAAGAACACACACTGTAAATTTAACCAATCTATCTTCAAGCATCACACGACAACCATCACCAAGACTTCTATAATGCGGTTTTACTGGCTTTGATTATTAACCTTTAGATGCAAAACCCCATCATGCACCGCAACATGTTTTTACAAAATATTCTAACCTAATTTCGCCAAATACAAGGGGAACATCATAGTTTGGTTTAAAAAAAGCATTTTAGTTGTATTATAATTAAGTTTGTTGCAAGGATTTTACAGTTTGAAGAAATAGAAAATGACACCATATGCCAACCGTCACAAGGATGTACATGATAATGGCTATATATACTGCATGCATCGTTTAGGTAGTTAACATTGTATTACTTCTTGAGCTCCTTGAGTTATTTACTGTCACATATAGGTGCTTTGGCCGGAGAGTAAGTGTTGGGGCCGGTATGATGTAAAGAGGAAATTAGGACCGGCCCATTGGGCAAATGCCCGGTGTCACAGATTACCATTCTGAGCCTGCATGTAGGGAGAGCACCACTTCAAAATTACTAAATGTTGTTTTATTATTAAAATTTATGTTTATATAGTTTGAAGAAAGAAAAATATTGTTTGTGAAAAAAAAAAAAAAGTTATGTTAATCCCTTTATGGTGCCACAATGGGGAAATTCGTTCTCTGCATTTTGACCAAACCCATTGGGGAGCAGTGGGCTGCCATTGTGTGGCACCCAGGGAGCAATCAGGGGTTAAGGGTTTTGCTCACGAACCAGAGTGGAGGCTATGGGCATCAACAAGAAATAGTCTTTTTAGACATGTCTGTCCTGTGAGATGTTTCTCCAGATCAGAAAATTAATTGGCAAAATAATTAAGGTTACATTAATTGTTTGAGTTGTTTTTCCTCTAATTCGATCCTCAGCACTCTATACTGAAAAATAAGAGGTTTTTCTTGTCTTTACTTTCTAGAGGAGTTAAGAAAGGTTGTGTTACTCCCAAAGTAAACTGAGCATGTGCTCTGAAGTTGTTTGAAGTTCAAAGTACAATCAGCCCAATCTCCTATGAAAGAAATACTTCATCTAGTTGTTGAAACAGGCTTTAACTGGAATCTGCCTTCAAATTTGATTCTCACTCTTTCACTGGATTAAATTGAGATGAATTACAGGTAACTCAATATGATGTAGATAAGAGCGGTTTGTCTAACAATAATATTTTCTATTGATTGATCCTCTGTAAATACACTGAAAATACATGTTTAAAGCAAAAGCAAATCTAAAATGGAATATTTTAGTCTTGGAAATCACAAATTGCATAATCAAAAATGTCTAGTCTCTGCTGTTGCACCTTGGATTTAATATTCCCCTCTCATGTTTTAGGTGCAGAAAGGAGCTCTGCTGTATTGAACAAACCTTCCTCTGAGCAGAACATGGACGCCTCCCTGCCAGTTACAGCAACCCCTGGTAGATATTAACAGTGGCATCAGATGCAGGATTTTACCATGCAATTGAAGGATTGAAGCTCCAACTTTCAGTGTTGTTGTGTCGTTGAGCCAGACACTCCCCCTGCATTGCCTATTGATGGTGGTCAGAAGGCCCGGTGGTGCTGATGTACGGCAGCCTTGCTTTTGTCAGTGAGCCCCAGGGCAGCTGTAGCTACAATGTAGCTCACCACCATCAGTGTCTAAATGTGTGTGTGAATGTAGTGTAGAGGGCTTTTACCATCACTTTAACTTAACATTCAATGATCTGCTTTTTTTGTCATTTTACTACACTTTTCTGTCAGGTTAACTTCTCTGACAAAGCGTTTTATTCACCTTATTTTTCTCTCAAGGTTTAAAACTGATTTAAATGATAAACAAATAACCGAACTGGGCTTCAGCAAATCTGAAGGATCAATCTTAAGCTGTTTTAAAAGTTTATTAATGCTTAATGTAGCTTTTGATTTACCCTTTTTACTCCATCTGTGAACATTCATGTTTAATCAGAACAGGGTTTAAAGCTGCTCATCATCATAATTTCCTCTGCATTGCAGTTCATACTCGACATGTTGCAGTCAGACATAAACTGTTCTCCTGGGAAATGGCAAACCTACTGTAGACAGAACAGGTTACTGCTGCTCGATTTTCCAGTGGTAGCACCCTCATGTGGTGATATGAGGTTTGGACGCAGCTCGTCAGCCATAGTAACCCACTTCATTAAACTCTTCCATTCTGGACTTCAGAAAGTTGGCATCCTCTGTGAACAATGTGCCAGCATCCACTGTTAGATGATTGTTTGAGATCAATCACTTCATGGCTGAATGCTCTATTATCCCTTTCATCCCATGTTGTCATAACATCCCCAATATTTGGAGGTGCAGTCTGAATGCTTTACTGGTTGATGTCAGCTATGGCCATCTAGGTCAGCGGTCCCCAACCTTTTTTGCACCACGGACCGCTATATGTCAGACAATATTTTCATGGACCGGGGGGGGGGGGGGGGTATACGATCAAGTAAAATGATACAACTGGTATAAAATCAAATACAAACAGCATAAAAATAAAACAACAAGCCGGTCCCATCTAGGCGTAATCGGAGAAAATGACAGACGAAGTGTGTTCCTGATGTCCAGTCAGCTCCGTAGCTTTGTTTTGGTCGCTGTAACCGCAGAAAATCACGCTTCACAAAGATAGGATGTTATAGATAGGATGAGTCTTAACCTGTGTCAAGAGGCACAGATGCACCGACTGATGTAATTGAGAGAGAATGCCGCAATGTTTTATATTTTTCAAAATGAAACATCACTCAGACTCTGATCGTTGTTAAATTATATATATATACTTTTTTCTGTGCGGCCCGGTACCAAATGACCCGTGGCCCAGTACCGGTCTGCGGACCAGTGGTTGGGGACTGCTGATCTAGGTGATGGCATCACCTGCATTCAATGATTTAAAGGTGGGACCCAATATTTTTTGCAATATGGTGTTGCGTTTCCTAAACTGTTCAGAAAACAGTGGAATTTGTTCTAAGTAGTTTGTTTAGAAGAATATTTATATTTCTACAGTTGAGTAACTAGGACTGCAACTATTCATTATTTTAGTAAGTGAATAACCTAGTGGTTATTTTTTCCCCTGATTAAAATTAGGTAGTCTTAGGAAATGAACATACCTCAATAAAAGCGTGTTCGAATAAAAAAAACAAACATTAATAATTTTAAAAACATTGTAAATGACAACAATGTGAAAAAGAAACTCAGAAATGTTTTTAATCTGAAATACGTAATTAATACCTGTACAGTTTTTGCTTAATTTTGCTTAGAGTTCGAGGTTCTTTCAGTAAATGGCCTCTTTAGGAGTCAGTGATTTAAAAAAAAAATTATTACTACATTAACTTACAATTACTTTGATTTTAGCCCTACTTAAACCATCCATTCATTGTTAGTTGGATCCATTTATCTGAGTATAATCCATCCGTATGTGTTAATCTGTCTACTTGTGTCACCATCCATCCATAGTCGAATCAGGGACGTTTGATTTTTATCAAGTGGGAATGCACTTATTGTTTTTCTGTTTCTCTTTATTATTATCAACAATAATAATCAACTAGAAAAAGCTGTTTCGGAGAAACATCAAAGTGGGAATGCTTTTGCTGAATGAAAAAAGCTGAAATTACCTGAAGAACATATGAAAATGTGATAGGAAGTCATCAGAAAATTCAAACTGCAGAAAACAATTGAATCATCTGAAGATTTTGTAGGGTAGAATCATTTGGCAGTAAAATGGCAGAAACAAACTCATCTTAAAAGCTGCACAGCCAAACCATACATGATATCAAAAAATGTCTTGAATGTGGGCACTAGAAGGGTCTTAATATAATGTCTCCCAAGTTTCTAGAAAAATGTATAAAGAAATTTTGAAGGGGGGTTTACCTACTTTCCAGAAACATGTCAGGCGTGTTATGAATTAGCAGCAAACAGAAAAGCTTAATTCCTGTCCAGAAACAGAGCAGAATGAAGCCAAAGTTCACAACATAGGCTGAAAAGTATGAAATTAGCTGAAGTAGAAAAGAAATTACAAAGAAAAACTTTAATCTTATCTGGTTGAAGAAAAAATTAGTAGCTTAAGGATGGGAAGTAAAATGTTGAGGACGATGGTATTGAATAAGTATTAACATTTTGAAATCATATGTGGAAATGTCAAGACTTGGCAAAACAATTGGAAAATTATTTAAAATGTGTCGGTTGATCAGCATAAAGAAAACAGTGTCATCCTTAGAGGATTGAAAATCTACAAACCTATGTGCAAGACTGACCATGAGAAGCAGAGGAAGGACAGAGAGAGAAGCTTATAGAAAGAGAGCTAATACCACTTAAGGAGCTGAATTTATAAAAAAAATTGAACCTGCATGTTACGAGCCGCTGTGGTAATGAAAGCACCGTTGGCAGGCTTAGGCTGCATGTTACAAGGTTAGCAGATGCTTTATTACAGTATAAATCTTAGAACCTGATTAAGAAATATGCACTGAGGTGTGTGGTCCACAGGCCTTGGTAGTGTAATTTGAAGAAATTGGTTGACTTTGGGTCATAGCTACGAGCCATACGGCACAATGAATGAGTGTGTGTAAGGAAGAGGCTTTTATTTTGTAGGTTCCCTTTAGTCTTATTTTGAAAGTCTATCATGGATGTGTGTCAAGGGAAGGGTCATGCCCAGCAGTGATATAGAATCCATTTCTAAATATGAAATCACTGGTTTTCCATGTTATTGGGTGAATAGATGCTGTATTAGAGCGTAAATGGGAGACTTTTATTGTGAAATTTGCTCTGGGGTATGTTTTGAAAAGGTCCCTAGAGTCTAATAGAAACAAGCTGGTAGAGTTTGGGTCATAATGCTGAGCCATTTGCATCAATTAATAGGCGAGTATAATATAGAGGCTTTTATTTTGTAGGGTCACTGGAGTCTTATTTTGAAAGTCTAGCAGGGTTGTGTGTTGAGAAAAGGGTCAAACCCAGCAGTGATACTTGATGACTTTCCAATCGTTAAATTACTCTTTTCCCTTGTTATTAGGGCAGTAGATAAAGTGGCAATGGGAGGCTTTTATTTTGAAATTTTCCATGGGGTGTGTTTTGAAAACCCCCTAGAGTCTCATTTTTAAAAAAGTGGTTGAGTTTGGGTCATAATGTTGAGCCATATGCTGGGAAAAAAATATGAGTTTAATGTAGGGGCTTTTATTTTGAAGGGTCCCCGGAGTCTTATTTTGAAAGTCTATCAGGGTTGCGTGTGAAGGGAAGGGTCATGGCCAGTAGTCATATTGTATCCACTTCCTAATGTTAAATCAGTGTTGTCTCCCTCCATTAGATTAAAATGTGCTGTTTAAAGTGGTGGAGGTAAAATCTCTTTGAAGCACGGTTACCTTGACGACGTTAACGAGCCTGTCAGTGACAGAGAGACATGCGCATCACTTTCGTTCCTTAGTTCTCAGGCTTTTTTGAATGGGATTATCAGCTCCGAACAAACGAGTGCTGAAGACAAACCGTAAATGGTATCTAAAAAATTCTTTCAGTCTAAGCGAGAGCTATCCTTTGTCTCCAATTGGGGTAACTTTCATGGATGTAGCTCATTCACAACCTTAATGGGAAGGAGGAATAAAAAGGTTTGAGAAATCCTGCTGGTCTCATTGAATAACATGCAGCACAACGGTAGAGCAGAACTCTCAAAAGCAAAACTTTCCCTCCGAACAAACGAGCGGTGAGCCAAAACCGTATTAGGTATTCAAAAAATTCTTTCACCGTGAGCGTCAGCCATCTTTGGACTACAACTGGTGTAACTTTCATATTTCTACAATATTTCGTCTAGGCGTGGTGACGATGTAAAAAAGTGTATAATTGTCAAAATCTTGATTTTGGGGTTCGGACAGATTTGTTACCCCCGAACAAACCTTTTTCCTAGCTAAACGATAAAAGATATCGACACACTTCCTTCAATGTGAGTGCTAGGAAGGTCTGAGGAACAACTTCCACAAGGCTCGTGTTGCTACGTCGAACGGTTCCCGAATGGGAGCGATACGAAAAAGTCTGTTTTTTTGAATTTTCATTTCGGATTTTCAGAGAGCTCTCATTGGATTTCTATTGGGGAAGTGTGGACTTCTTCGTGGTCTGGGCCAAACTGTCGGAAAACCGTAAATGCCACACAGATGAGGGTTACATTTCCTGAATCCTGACAAAAATCCCTACGTTTTGATGTAAAATTTATCTAGATAGAGTAAAAAATGAGCGAGTGAGTTGAAGCTGTTCGGCATGAGTGAAATGTTTGAAAACGCTAGAGTGGCACACTCTAGCAGCTGAACATTCCGTCCATAGACTTCCATTATAAATTTGAAAATCTGTAAAAAATGTTTAAAAGTTTGAAGCTTCACTGAAGCAAAACTGTAAAAGTTAGCTGAAAGCCGAGTTAAACAGTAATAGCAGAAAGATACGGAAACATTTT